AATTCTGGGTGAACCATTCTTCTAGGCTATTCCTTCCCTTTGTACTAAGAAATATAGAGTGAAAATTATTCCCTGATGTCTGTGGTATGCCAAAACATAAGACTGGGGGGAATGGGCAATTTTTGTAAATTTGACTTTGTGTCTTATTTTCCCCCATGAGGAGCCAAATAAATACTCTTACTTAGTATGCATTAGACCCAAGTTACAGGTGTACTTACCTAGGGCAAAATAACTTTCTTGATCAAGAGCCATAACAACTGAGTCTCATTCCAGCCTAGTGAATAATGATGCCCTTAATGTTCATCTGACAAGCTTGCCTTATTAAAGACAATTATTGTCTTATTAAAAAACATCAACTTTTGAATAATCTTATCAAAAGATATAGAGCAAGACAAAGATGAAAGCATTGGGTTAAATGTTGATAAGGATATAATTCAGGAATTGTTTGAGGAAGGGAAACTGCACAAGTGTTGTGAAGGAAATAAGCTTTAAGAGGCATGCTGATAAATCCCAATGAGATGCAATTTGATACCTGATGATTATATATAATATTGAAACAGTTTTAGACATGACATTACTTTCTTTGATGTTAGGCAGCATTTTAGGACAAGTGCTGACTGATTGCGATGATCCTTCCTTGCTGTTCCCTCTTGAGAGCTCAGGTTTCTTGAACTCGTGTCAGTTTACATTGGTACTCTTTCCTTTTTCAGTGGAAGTTATTAAAAAGTATTACAGTATGCTTACTGACATTTTTGTTTTGTTTTTGTTACATAAATAGTCAGATTCTCATTTTCAAATCTTCCTTTGTTAAAGATTGGCTTCTTGTATTTCATTTAGATATTTTAAAATTTTTTTTTATGATTACAGAAAATAAATATAATTCTTTTTTAATATATTTTATTCTACATACCAAACCAGGTTGATTTTTTTCATGCTCAACAATTTTTGCTTAATCATTTAATTTTTTGTTTGAGGCCACCAAATAGGTTTTCAGACATGGTTCTTTATAATTAATATGTTAATTAACTTAATCAATGTTGAGGTTTGTCCGTAAAATAACTACTCTATCTTCAACACAGAAAAATTCTTATTTACATTCCAGCCAAATCCTTAACACATTTCTAGAACTTACAAAATGTTTCTACCAAAATGACTACAGTTGATATGTCTGCTACAGAAGTTTGATGAATTGTTGTGACATGTGCTAAATTCAGTGTCATGAAAGTTAAATCAAAATTCATTACTTATAAACAATTAGGTCTTCATATAAACAGTATAGTATAAATACAATGTAAATATTTACTAATTATGGTTATTATCCTGTCAAAAATGATGGGATTATTTACAAATGGAATGGCATTTTTGCCAAGAACAAGCATATTTCTGTTAAAGCTCAAAGTGTCACTCCCCAGCCTAGGATTAGAGTATATCTGTACACTCTGTATTCAACATAAACATGGACACATACACACACACATACATATATATATAGAGAGAGAGAGAAAGAGAAAGAGAAAGAGTGTGAAAGTGGTTATTTTATATGTGGATTGTTAATCGTAAACTGAAGACACTGCTGAAGATATGTCAAAATCTTTCTGAGGCTGATAACGAAAGAAAAAATAACTCCCAAAGTAGAAAAATAAAATAGCTAAATGTAATTTGAAGTTGAAGGTTTAGTAGATGTCACAATGTGACTTCAAATACATTAGACACTATCATCATAAATTTAATTACTTGTATTGAATTACTTTTTACTGTTTTATGATTTTAGTGGATATAGAATACATTTTAAAAGAATTGCAACACAACTTTCGCTAAAGGGGAACAACTGCTTCTAATTACCTACCTTGTAGAAGTAGATGACTCAACTATAGATACAAGTAGGATTATTTGGCACATTGCCTTTTTATGAGTTAATACATTTTTTCTTTTTACATTGAAATATATTCAGTTACATGGTCTTTTAAGGATGAAATTTTTATTGTAACTTTATAAAAACTAGTGATAGAAATAGAACAGAAAATGAAAAAAAAATTATTGTCAACTATCTCTGTTAGATTGATGTTACCACTTACAAATAATAGTGAAATTCTTTCAATTTAAGAAATAGAAAATAACAAACTTTGTATGTAAGTGAGGTAAGAACAAATCTAAGAAGTTAATATCAAGTCTTAGCTACACCTTTCTCTTCAAAATCTACTAATAAATATATAAAACTTTGACTTTATACAAAAAGATTTATATTGAGTAAATGTATCTTGATGTTTGTAAAAAAAAAACTTAGTCTCATTGAACATAACTAAATTATTTCACTTGGAGAAAAAAAGAAAACTATCTGACAATAACTTCTTTGTTTTTATAACACTAAAGTAGCTATAAATGTTAAGTTTATTTATTCAAATTAAAAGATAAATACTGGGTATCCGATAAACATATTGACTATATAAGAATAATTAAAAGAAAATTTTTTCCCAAATAAAATATTTTTATTAAATTCTTATTTTTATATTATTTTGTATAATAAATGTTTATTTGCTTCATTACCAAAACACCTGAAGTTTTGTATGGACCTACTTTATTTGTGAACTTCTAACTTACTCTAATTGATTTCAACATTTGAGGACCTAACAATTCAATCCTTTGAATTGAATCATCAAACTATCTACACACGATTTTGATTATAGTGATGAAGGCTTGTGTAGAACTAGTTGCACTTTTTCAAAAGAACTAATAACAAAGAATTGGTACACAGTGTGCCACAAAATTTCTAAAACAGCATTCATCAGGTTTGAATTCAGAGTTGTTCTTAGACTGGTTACTATTTAATCCGTAACTGGAGTGAAAGATGGATACAAACCTTTCCCAAAGGTTTTTGTGCAAAAGTGAATGTAATGAACTCAGCCAAAATTCAAACACAGATCACTGGTTTCCAAGTCAATAACTATTACACTACTTATACATACATATATATATATATATATATATATATATATATATATATATATAAAGAACATACACGTTTGGTGAAGTTGCTGTGAAATAATTCAGTTTCAGTGTTTTCTAAGTTTTCTAATATTAAAATTACTATTACTTCAATTTTTATCTAAACTCAGAGTGACCACACTTTAGAAACCACAACTCATTTAAATGCAATAATGATTTTTCATATTAAGTAATGCTAAACATGCAATCCTGGTTTTTTTTTTAAGACTGATATTTAAGATAATATATATCCAAAGCAAAAAATTTAAAAAATAGTAGCAAATAAAACCTATTTGAATTCTTTTATGTTTATTAAACAGAATACAAAATAATGATAAGGATTATGGTGGTGATTATAATAATGATGATGAATGACATGATAGTATTAATAAATATGATAATGTAGAATTAGATTGACTAGTATGATAGCAAAAACAATGATACTAGCAGAAATTAATCTTAATGGTGATTTTGATAATTATAATTATGGTACTGCTGATGATGATCATCATCAAGCAGAAAGATTTGAGTATCTTTAATAAAGGCTAACTTGTTATGATCATAATACTAGATCAGAGCATTACTTGTAGTGTACTCACATTCAGTTGTGGTAATTACTTATCAGTAATAGTCCAAGGAGGAAAAATCACCAACTGCTTATCAATCATTGGACAGCCAAAATATTGATGTGAAAAAAAGAACATCAAGTACAACCCAAATTGTGGCACAAATTTCAGATAGCTTTAATAAAGGTGAAAGAGGGAATGTATCAGAACAAACAGTAAATTCTTAACACCAAAAGCATGTATGTGAGCTTCAGAATAGGACCATAGGAAGATTGTCTTGTCCATTGAGGCTTACATTATCTTGAATAAATTTGATAGCATGATATGTGTGCATTGTTATTCTGGTGAAGTGATGGCATCAGGATACAGTGTGGAAAAATAACAAATAATGAAAACAATATTCTGCTAGGAAGCAATGGGTCCTGTAATTCATGTGGAAGATATTTTGTCATGTACTACTTACTTCAACATCATTAAAGACCAGGTCACCTTTATGACAACAGTCTTTATGATGGAGTAGCATCATTCAGCAAAAAAATGCACATCTGCTATCCTAAACATGTTGTATGAAATGGTTTCAGGAACATGAAGAAGTCTTTAGTGTTGCCCTGGTTACCAAACTCCCCAGATCTCAATCCCATTGAACACTTATGAGATATGTTGCACCAACAAGTCTGCTCAGCAAAACCTCCCCAGGTAACTTGCAGCAGTTAAAGAACTTGTTGTTAATATACTGGGACCAAATCCCAGAGGAAATCTTACAGTCCATGTCTAAATGAGTAAGAGATATTTTATAAGTACATGGAAGATCAACACCTAATTAAGAAGGTGATCATATTGTTTTGGTTCATCAATGTAAATGCATATATAAGTTTGTGTGTACTTTTTCTCACTGTGGATATAAGTTACAATTTGTATATCTGAAGAGTAAGTAATTCTTCTACTGTTTGTAGTCACTGCAGCTACTATATTATATAAGTATTAGCTTGAATTAACATTATGTGGTAATCATATATACATCCTTATACAACCATTTGATAATTCAAGCATTTGATATTATCCAAATTAAAATTGAATTCAAAATCAATATCACTCTTTTTTGGATATTTTATTAAATTCTAGCATAATTGATATGAATCAAATGAATAAAAATATTTTTTTAGATTAATTATTAAGATACTCCAGTTTGAAAGTTTGTTTTCCAGACTTTGATCTAAGATCAAAATGTAATTTCATGGAAAAAAAATATCACAAATTTTAGTACTGAATATGCATCCTTAAAATACTTTTAAAGAAAATATATTTAATAGAATACCTGAATAAGTTTACATGCAAAACATCATTAAAAACAAACCTTGCTGTTTTATATCTTTATACATTTAAAATGTTCTTATAATTTAATTTCTGTCATGTTAAAAAATAATGAATTCTTTTTTTTCTAATAATTTTTAGGAAAAACCCCAACAGAAGATTGGGATACATCTTATGCTGATGATCTCTTGAAAAAGTGGGAAACCAAAAAGTTTGGAAGCAGCTATGTTGGCAGATCTAGAGAAAAGTCATATAGTCCCCATCGAAGATCTTATGATCCTTCACCTGAAAGAGATAGAAGGTATCGTTCTTCCAGCCGAGACTCTGATATCTATTCCCCATATGGAAAATATTCTGGAACATCCTATGACAAATATTCTGATTACAGCAGAACAAGTGGAAGATATTCAAGCTATGAAAGACCTACTGAGAGATATTCTCGCTATGATCAACCAACTAATTACAGCCGGGCAAGTGACAGATATTCTCGCTATGATATGCCTACAGACCGATATTCTAGAGATCGATATTCATCTGAAAGATACTCAACTGATAAATATTCTTCTGACAGATACTCAACTGATAAATATTCAGCTGACAGATACGCAACTGATAAATATTCAGCTGACAGATACGCAACTGATAAATATTCAGCTGACAGATACTCAACTGATAAATATTCAGCTGACAGATACTCATCCAATAGGTACTCAGCTGACAGATACTCAGCCGACAGATACTCAACTGACAGATACTCAGCTGACAGATATTCAACCGATAGATATTCAGCTGAAAGATACTCCACCAATCGATATTCAGCTGAAAGATATTCAACTGATAGATACTCAGCTGATAAGTATTCAACTGATAGGTATTCAAGAGATAGATATTCAAGGGATAGATATTCATCAGAAAGATACTTAAGTCCTAAACCTCGACAAAGGTTTTCCAGTCATGAAAGAGATTATTATTCAGGCAACAGTCAATATGAAGACAAGAAAGTGTCAAAGACAAGCAGTTCCACAGAAGAAGACAAAGAAAAAACATCAGATCTTATATCAGAAATTAAAGGCATGAAGCTTGATATAGAAATACGAATAGAGCAAGCAGATGAACTGATGAAAGATGAAACTGATGCAAATAAAAGAATGAAAAAGGAAAAAATTAAAACAGATGAGGATGTAAAAACAACAGACACACATGAGAAACCAGATAACAAAACATTAGATAGCTCTATGAAACAAGATAAAAAGGCAGAAACATATGAGTGCCTAGATTATAAAAAAGTACAAAAGCCATCTGAAATAGAAAAGAAAGAAGTAGATGAAATACTCGTTTATAGGGCAGTGGAGGTATCAACAAAAGAGCAAGAGAAAAAAGAAATGTGTGAAAAACTAGATTATAAAACCATAAAACAGCCTACAAAAGTAGAAGAAAAGAAAGAAGAAACTTTTGAAAAATTGGATCACAAAGTAATGGAAAGACCTACAATGGTTGAAACCAAGAAAGAAGAAACCTTTGAAAAACTGGATCAAAAAATTGTAGAAGCACCTAAAATAGTTGAAGCCAAGAAAGAAGAAACCTTTGAAAAATTGGATCATAAAACTGTAGAAGCACCTAAAATAGTTGAAACCAAGAAAGAAGAAACCTTTGAAAAATTAGATCACAAAACTGTAGAAGCTCCTAAAATAGTTGAAACCAAGAAAGAAGAAACCTTTGAAAAATTGGATCACAAAACTGTAGAAGCTCCTAAAATAGTTGAAGCCAAGAAAGAAGAAACATTTGAAAAATTGGATCATAAAACTGTAGAAGCTGCTAAAATAGTTGAAGCCAAGAAAGAAGAAACCTTTGAAAAATTAGATCACAAAACTGTAGAAGCTCCTAAAATAGTTGAAACCAAGAAAGAAGAAACCTTTGAAAAATTGGATCACAAAACTGTAGAAGCTCCTAAAATAGTTGAAGCCAAGAAAGAAGAAACATTTGAAAAATTGGATCATAAAACTGTAGAAGCTCCTAAAATAGTTGAAACCAAGAAAGAAGAAACCTTTGAAAAATTGGATCACAAAACTGTAGAAGCTCCTAAAATGGTTGAAACCAAGAAAGAAGAAACCTTTGAAAAATTAGATCACAAAACTGTAGAAGCTCCTAAAATAGTTGAAACCAAGAAAGAAGAAACCTTTGAAAAATTAGATCACAAAACTGTAGAAGCTCCTAAAATAGTTGAAACCAAGAAAGAAGAAACCCTTGAAAAATTGGATCACAAAACTGTAGAAGCTCCTAAAATAGTTGAAGCCAAGAAAGAAGAAACCTTTGAAAAATTGGATCATAAAACTGTAGAAGCTCCTAAAATAGTTGAAACCAAGAAAGAAGAAACCTTTGAAAAATTGGATCATAAAACTGTAGAAGCCCCAAAAATAGTTGAAACCAAGAAAGAAGAAACCTTTGAAAAATTGGATCATAAAACTGTAGAAGCTCCTAAAATAGTTGAATCCAAGAAAGAAGAAACCTTTGAAAAATTGGATCACAAAACTGTAGAAGCTCCTGAAATAGTTGAAACCAAGAAAGAAGAAACCTTTGAGAAACTGGATCACCAAACTGTAAAAATGCCTTCAAAATTAGATGAAAAGAAAAAAGATACATTTGAAGAAGTAGATCATAAAACTGTAGAAAGGACTTCAATAGTTGAAGGCAAAAAAGAAGAGACCTTTGAAAAACTAGATCATAAAACAGTAGAAATGCCTTCAAAATTAGAAGAAAATGAAGACAAAACTGTAGAAAAACTGGATCACAAGACATCAGAAGGGCCTAAAATAGCTGAAGCCCAGAAAGAAGAAACTTTTCAAGAATTAGATCATAAAACTGTAGAAACACCAACAAAAGTAGAAGTTAAGAATGATGTATCCCAAGATTTAGAATATAAGGCAGTAGATTTACCTACACATGTTCAAGATAAAGTAGAATTAGTTAAAAAAATGGAAGCTCCTATTTCTGTGGTAGAAGACACAAAATCTGATATCACTAAAATGAAGGATGATAAATTGGAAGAGAAGAAATTAGGAGATTTAAGTAAAGTAGCGGAACAGGTACCTGCATACCCTGCTCAACTGGAATCTGGGGACAAAGTAAATTTAAGTGATGAAGAAAATGCAAAAGAATTAATTCAAGAAGCAAGAACTGTAGATGAGCAAAGTTCAAGTGATCTGTCCAAACAGTCAACATTATCCTTATCTGAAAGAATAATAAAAAATGAAGATAATGAATATGAAATCGTTATGTGTCCAGAGAAAGAAGTAATCATTGAAGAATTCCCTACATTTTCTATGCCTCCTCAGGATTCTGCAGAAGATGTCAGACGAGAGTCTTCAGAACAGATGGGCACAGTTCAGCTAGAAGACGCCAAGACAATTACAAAAGATGAGCCAGTTGATGAAATTAAAACTATGTCTGAACAAAAACTTGACACTAAAACAAAAGATGTAGAAATGGGAAAAGTAATAACAATAGATAGAGAAAAGATCCAGACTTCAGTTGTTAAAGATGTTGAAAAATCTGAAAGTACTGAGGCTAAGGAGGTATCATTGCTTGCAGATGTAGAGGTATCTGGATCTCTTTATCAAAACAAAAAGGATGCTGTTGAAGAAGAAAAGGTTAAATCTATCTCAGAAAAAGAACCAACTCCTACTAAAGAAAATGATACATCAACTATTATAGAATCATCCCAAATTGATGACCATTCATTGATCTTGGCTGATGGCACAGATATCAAAGAAAAGAATATAGAAGTCACTGAAGAAAAAGTCCAACAGGAGGCAAATGTCCAAGCTGAAGTCTTTGACACTCATGAATCAAAAATATCAGAAGTAATGTCAACAACAGAGAGTGAGATAGATCTGAGCACACAATATGCAGACAAGCTTTCTTCAGAACTGGATGATAAAAAAACAGGAAACTTTCTTGATGATGAAAAGAACAAAGAGAAAATTGAACATATTGATCCAGAGTTGGAGAATTTTGCCCAATCAATTGTAAAGAAAATCCTTGAGGATGAACTCAAACAGCAATTGAAGGCAGAGAGCAAAGAAACATTGGAAAACACATGCTTTGAGGATAAGGATGAGAAAATCCCTGAAGAGAAGACCAATGGAAATCAGACTGTAATTATTGTTGATATGGATTCAGAAGATGATGAGAGAGACATGGGTCAGCAAAAAGACTATATAGTGGAATTACCACCATCACCAGCTGACCGCAAACATTCTCTTAATGAAATTCCAGATGATGAACAATGTTTTATTCATGGCAGTGGTTCTCCAGGCTCCCCAGTCATTGAAGAATTACTGTCACCATTTCGCACAAGTGAAGATGGACAACAAGGCATCATTGAAGAACCTTCAGAGGATGCATTTGGACGAGAAATCACAACATCCAGCGACAGAGAAAATGAAGCTGATGAAAGATTGACTTTCGATGAAAAGTTCAATTTCGAATCAAACAATGTTGATCAAGATGTCTTTGAGGGTAGACCTCTTGACAAAGAGACACATCAAACGTCACAAAAAGAAGAAGCAAGTACAGACACTGAAGAAGACCTAGCAAGTACAGGAAAAAGATGTGAGAAAGATTATATGGAGAAGGAATCTGGTCAGAAAACACCAAGTGGATTAGATGCAGATGTTGAAAAAAAAATGAGTGATTGTTCTGAGTGGAAGGATGCTGATGGCTATGGAGCAGATAGTGGAGCTGCTACTAGAGAAACACAAGTTTCTGCAACCAATGAGGGCAAACAACTTTCTGGATACAGCAGAAATGGTGAAGTAGTAATAGGTGATGATTATGAAGATAAGTCAGAAATTAGCAGTGAAAAAAATTATTCCAGTGACTTACAGCAGCAGTCAGAAATAAGCCAGAAAGAGCATTCCTCCCGTCAGAGTTCATTCACCACCCAGACACCGGAGTCTAGGAGCTCCACTTCATCTGAACAAGTTGGCACAGCAACAGGTAACTACAAAATTGGGAGGAATCTTACCTCAGATGATTTACCAGCAGAAGATGATGGAGTGTGGACAAGGAAACCAATATTTTCTGAGGATTCGTTGTCCTACGTATCTGAACAGACTAGTCTCTCGGGTGACTCTCACCGAGGTTTAGAGACCGAGTCAAATCGAACCAGTTCCTTAGAAAGGCAGTTGTCGGATGATGAAACTTTCTTACTAAGGCAGACCTCTGATGAATCTGGCATCCTCCAGCGACAATCTTCAGATGAAGTGAATGTTCTTCAAACACAGTCACCAGAATACAGCTATTCCTTCAAAAGGCAGAAACCAGATGAGAGCCTCCATAAACAAACTTCAAAAGATGCAGGCATCTTTTATACAGAGTCTACACAGGATGAGGGTATTTTCCAAACAGAATCAAGAGAAATTGTAGCCCAGCATCTTGGCTATTCTGGTTCTGCCCAGCAAGAAAAGGAAGAATACAAAACCACAAAAGGATATTACAGAGATTATGAAGAACAAGAAAATGTTCAGTCAGATTATCAAGAGGAATGTCTTTCAGAATACTCTGATTCAGAAGCTGAATCAGAAGGCAGTGATGTGACCACACAAACTGCAATTATCAACAAAAACACAGGGGAATTCTCCACAACTGCCACTGAGAGCATGGACGATGATGTCTCAGACCAATCAGATAGTCGGAAAGTAAAAAGCATGTCTCCTATGTCCCAAGATGTAATATCTCGACCACCTCGTTTTAAATCACCCGGAATTGAGGAGATGCTCAAAGACAGGTTAGTAGATGTTTAATACAGATATTTTATCTGTATATATTGTGTATATATAAAGGGTGTGATATATTTGACTTTATGTGATGTACAAATTTTGTATATATGTGTGTGTGTGTATACACACACACACTAGAGTGTCCATAACATGACATATAATTATCCTTAATTTTTGCTAACATGTTATTAATTTTCATCACTGTCTTAAATGCACTGACATGTTGAAAAATATCTATTATGTAAAATAAATGCTTTTTCATCATTAGGTTATCTATCTATCTATCTATCTATCTATCTATCTACCTTTATATATATATATATATATATATATACACACACACACCATGTATTAAATGTAGTAATTCAGGAGTTTCTAATCAGAAGAGCTGGGATGCCGTATATATATATATATATATATATATATATATATATATATATAGAGAGAGAGAGAGAGAGAGAGAAGAGAGACAGACAGATAGATATCAGTTATCTATAGTTTAGTAGTTAATAATTATTTTTTACCTGAAAAAAATGTACTTATCAAAAGTACTCATGGTATGAACTGGTTGGGTATAAAATTTTTGTAGATGCCCTCTATAGATAATTAGATAGATACAATAAAATAAATTTTTAAATGAAACAATTTAAATACCTTTATAAATCTATTTCCTTTTTCGAAAACTATATGGTTATTTCTATATTAATGCACAATTGCTTCGATCTTTAAACACTCATTAATTTATCTTTTTGTCTCTGTTTTTGTTTTTTTTTTTTTTCAGATATAACTATTGTTAGTTTCATAAAATTGAATACATGTATCTTAGAAATACAAACAATACAATAATTATGATTTTCAAAATTTTTGCGGGATTTTTTACTATTAAAATAATATTTAAGTGAAATAAAAAAATTTGCACTTTTCAGTCCAACAATTACCTTTTCCTTATAAAATCTGCATACTAATATTTAGTATGTGATGTCTTTTGATCATAAGTAGATTTATATATTGTTAATTTCATAATAACTTTGTTTTTGGGAGCATCATGACAAAATTAATATTTTAACATATCTTCCTTTTATTTTCAAAGTTCACAAATTATCTTTAAGATTCATTTAATTATCAGTTAAAATTCATTTAATAAAGTCATATGTTTATATTCACCAAGCAAATAGCTAATCTGAACAAAAATATGATTATAAAAATAGTTTATTTTAAGAAAAGATGCAGTACACTTATGATAATTGTAAATATTTAACAGACATCTTGCCTACGTGGACTAAAAAATATTGGTATTGTTATCATAAACACATTAAAATATATATGGATAAATACAAAATCTAGTCCTTTTCTTCTGGATTAAAATTTAGTTTTTTATTCAATTTTTTGGCATTTTATGCTAATTTAGATTATTCTCAATGTTTTTTTTTTATTTTTTATTAATATAAATTTAAAATAAAATATTTATAAGAATATTTCAATCATTTTCAGGAAAATTTAATTCTTTCTAATAGTCTTTAATTCTTGTTAATACCTGTTTTGTTATTTTTAAGACAAAATTCTTCTGGTAGAATATATCCTTTTTCTTTTAACAAAATAAAAGTCTTTACTCTATGTGACCTCATAATTTATTTTTTACATTCAGCTGAAAATTAAGTGAAAGGAAAACATAGCTTTCGACTTCAAAGCAAAAACTAAAATTTTGTTCATGTCATTAAAAGAATTTTCAGTAAAAATTTTTTTTCATTTATTAGTTTATTTTCTTTTATATTTTAGAAATTATTTTTTTAAACAAAGCTTTGCCTTCCTGTGAACTTTCTTGTTGTTAAAACTGTTAAATGAAGAAGTTTCTCCTTTTTTAGTGTGAAACTACAAACAAAAACATGATATCCTGATGAGAAGAAATAAAAAAAAAGTTGGGTATCTAAGAAAACAAGTTGTTTTTGACTAGCAACTCATTAAGACAGTAGACAAACAAACAATGAGAAACTTTTAGAAAATGTGAAATTTACTTTGATTAACTTGAGATTTTGCCAAAATGCTTGTGATTTTTTATCTTTTGTGAATCTGACTCTCAAGACATTCTCCTGTTCTTAAATAGGAAAGCAATTAAAATTAGCAAGTTTACTTTTTCTGTTCTATTACAGATTTGGATATTTTCCATTTGCTAACATTTCAATAATAAAATTTTGTTTTAACTTTGAAACAATTTAGCAACAGGTTATGAATCAGATCATATAAATGTAACAATTTAATATTTGAGCAATATTTTCATAATGGAAAAATGTAATGCACACATCACTCTCCGGTTATTGGGAGATTAATGTTGTAACATCTATGGTAAGGATTTTTAATTAAATTACTTTTAATAAGTTTGATGTTCCTGAGATAAGCTTTAGAATATTCATTTTTAAAACAGATATTCTGTGGCTATTGCAGTAAAACCTGCATGGACCTCATTGTTCATCAGAAGACATGCTGCCAGCATGGAAAATTCTCCCAAACCTTTATTTGTGAAGCTAAACAATAAATAAATAGTAATAGTAATAATATTATGATGCTAAACCAAGCATGGCTTCTGAACATAATTGATTGTCAATTTTCATGATGGGCAGTTATGTAGACCTCATCTCTCCTATTTTTTTTTATTTTTTTTTATTAAACTTTTCACCCCAAGCAAGGTGGGAGTGCCACTAGCATGCTAGGGGTTACAGAAAATGAGAGCAAGAGTAAAGAGGCATGAAAGAGGAAGATGAAGAGAAGGATGTGGAATAGATCAAGGAATCTGGGGATGTCGATTGACATTGCAATAGTTGGAGATTATAGCTATCAGGAAAGCAAGTAAGGGAATGCCACAGATGGGAAGTGCAAGACATGAAGCTATTAGAATAAAAGAGACAGCTACATTTAACCATTTTGACAGTGAAAGGGTGGGACTGAGATGCCGACCTAATGGCACATTTAAATTCATGCAGTTTGGGAACTAGCGAAAATAGATTGTCAGAGCAGTTACCATGAAAGTATTTGTAGAAAAGACGGAGGGAGGTGATGACACATCTGTGAGAGAGTAGCTGTAAATGAGATGCCAGATCAGGGCAAACCACATTGCATATCCATCTCTGGATTTTGTTGAGGACCCTAAGACAAACAGCAGGGGCTCCAGACCATATATGACGGCAATATTCTATGCAAGAGCAAATGGTTAATGTATAGATTTGAAGTATGGACTTTGGTGAGAAAAACTTTCTGGCACAACTTCCCTTGCGGTAGATGAAGCTATTGATTCAATGTAATTGTTTCATCTCAGGTCAGCAGACAGTGTGAGACCAAGCAGTTGCAAAGAGGTGCTTTCATGGAGTTGAGCATCAGACATTATAGTGGGAGGCATGGAGGGTTCGCTGTGGTGGGTAATAGAGAGCAGTTTTATTTTTGAGGCATTAAAGTTAACCAGCCATTTCCTACCCCAGTCAACAACTGATTGGAGGTCCTTTTCGCGACCAATGGCCAGGTTAGTTTTGTCAGTGATACTAGATTTGCTATTTAGGCAGGAATAAATAGTGGTGTCATCTGCACAGATGCCTACTTGGGAACTGATGACATCAGAAAGATCGTTAATGAAGATAAGGAACAGAGTAGGGCCTAGGATAGAGCCTTGGGGAACACCTGAGTTTGTGAGAATTGAAATGGAGGAGAATCCATTAAGGATGACATTCATTATACAGTTTGACAGGAATGATTGTATTAAGTCAAATAATCATCCTGAGATACTGTATCCCTGAAGCTTACAAAGGAGGCCAGCATGCCAAACCCTATCAAATGCTTTAGAGATATTTAGAGCCACAGCACAATCTTCTCCATTGTTGTGAAGTGCTTGGTAAACAAATTCAGTTATGGCTGTGAGCACATCAGCTGTAGACTGGGCAAAGTGGAAGCCATACTGCTTGTCAGAGAGCAGATCATGGGATGTAAGGTGCTTCAGTGTTGATTAAAGCTTCAAAGACTTTGCCAAAGAGTGGGAGGAGACTGATAGGATGGTAGTTATATGGGTCAAAAGGTTTGCCAGAGTTCTTGAAGACAGGTACAAGAGATGAAGACTTCCCACAGGATGGAAAGCAGGAGTCATTGAGGCAGTACATGTATAGTTTGGAGAGGACAGGAGCCAGTTCAGGAGCACATTTCTTCAGGACAATGGCTGGTATCCCGTCCCCACCACTAGCCTTATGGGAGTCTAATTTAGAGATGATGCCCATTACCAACGATGGAGTTATGTGCAAATCGCTTAACAGAGCCTCAGTTCTAGGGGGAAATCGGGTGTGGGTACACCAAACGAGTCAAGCATTGAATTTACGAGCAAAGCACTTGGCCTTATCAGCTGAGAAAGCCAATAATCTTTGGAGCCAAATTTGCAGGATGCAATATATTGTTTCATTCTATCAGCAAATTTGACATGGCCATTATATTTTATGGTAATATTACAGTGATGTGCTGGCAGTTGAAATTCTTCATTAGTTAAATATGTCTTTAGTTGTTGAAAAATCTACAACCACAGTTGAATTGAAGATTTTGTTTAAGGATTCTAATATTTGAGATCTTTTTCATTTAAATAATAAAATATAGTGTCTATATTGTTGATGCATATTTGTCTTATAAATATACATATCTGTAGATATGTTTATGGATTGCACTGTGATCTGCAAGGTGGCAGGTTAACCTGCAGCTTGTGTATTCTATATATTAACCATGATTTTTAAAACCAAAAAAGTAATCTAAAAATGCAGTCTCATAATAGCTATATAACTATGAAGAAAATAACATAGAACCAATCAAATTTAAAAAATGAATAAAATAAGGTTGAACTGAATGAAATGGATGAATCAGAATAAATTAAACTCTATAAAGCACAGTGGAATGATAAAAGTGACAGAAATGAGACAAGTTTTGAAACTAATTAGATTTAATTATTCAAAAAATTCTGAGTGCATTTTTTATCTCTTGTCAAAACCAGTTG